TATAACATCACTATAACCTAACTTTCTGCTGTCATATTTTTGTTAAAATGCCATAACCAATGTTTTAAGACAAACAACGCATGCATATTGGTTCAAAAGGTTTCATCAACTGTTCAAACAGAAGATATAGATCTGGTACAAATTCTGGGTAAATCATTCGACTCTGTCGGTTTAATTTCAGAAATTTGTCAAATAGTTGTATAACACCTGCAGGCAACACCAAAATATTCTAATAACCTAAAGACAACATGGACGATGCCATGATTATACACAACCACCCGCCATATTGGGCAAACATTTATTCCTCTATTTTATATTAAATAATTATGTTTCAGTTCGACATTACAGATATTAAGTGATAAAGTGTAATTGTGTCTAAATAGGATTTGTGGAAGATTTAACGCAGATAAGTTCAGTTTTCCATTTTAAAAATCTAGACATACTTTTGATCATTATTAAAATATGAATCAAATATGAAACCCGTAGAAATTGCGTAATTAATTTGCACGATAATCACAATAAAATTTGCTGCGCAAGTAATTCAATAGCCCTATATCGCAGTGTAGAAGTTTATCATATACATGTCCTTGACACTCACAATGGCCGATATGTAAGTAAACAAGATGACTGTAATGTGTTAGTTATATTTTCTTCACTTCGTCTATACAATACATACGATTGGTTGCAATAAAGTAGAATCATGTAACAGAATAGTTGTATAATTGACAAAAACTGAATCTTACACTGACGCAAATGTCCTATAGCGGCTACAAGAGGCTTACACTTTTGTTGTATAACTGTTACCTGCAGCCCTTATACAACCCCTTAAATGACTGAAGTGTCCTATTAGGTGTGCCCATTCCGCTTGTATAGCTGTTCTAAGAGCGTTTTGCCAATGTTTTTACAGTATACATGCCTGTTTATGGAATACTGTATAATCATTCTGCAACTCTAACAGGAGTGATAATTGTTAGTTGGATGCCCATGCGTGAAAAACATAACCCTTCTTCTGATGGTAAGGAGAACTGACCTTTGAGTTCTAGCCTCTAAGCGATGCCGACATTTTCCTAAAAGTAAGATCTTTCTTTGGGAGCTGACTTCCTTGACACTGTGTAATATCAGTAACCACTAATCAGGTTTCATAAAACTAGAAAGGTACGGTATGGGCACAGGCTTGAAAATGGGTGTTAGGGCGCAGGGTAATAATTTTAAAAATCAATTTTGTTCAGAAGTGGATCTGACCCTTCACTATAAAAACCAGACACTGAGTTCAACCCTGCTGTTAGCTATTTACGTAAGTCAAACTATGTTTGGAGATGGATGAATATTCCTCAATCAGGTTCTGTTCTGGCCCAAGTCGCGCCGAACAAATATTTTAAATTAATCTTCTTCAAGGCTTTACCTGTAGAAGTTTTTGTTTGCGGTGTATATTTCCAAGAGGGAGGTTAAATTTACTTTACAGTACGTATTCCTGTGAGCACACAACAAAATTCGATTACATGAAGTGGCAAGTTTCAGGTTGTCCCTGAACATACTCAAATATATCGGGCTAGTATAGAGTGAATAATTAAAGTTGACATAAAGGTCCAATACCAGTAGTTCTCGACACTATAAGCAGCGGAGGTATCGTGTCTATTTAACAGTATCCCGTCCCAAGTCAATTTTTCTCTTAACTATGAACGTGGAGGTACCACTCGGGGGATCTGCCTTTGTTAGAGTTCGTGTGGCGTCTCCCCTTGCCCCTGTATCCCCCATATGGCCCACCCTGGCATAACACAGTGCGAGGTCTGTAAATTAAGTGATGAGACTGGAAGCGCCCGGCTTGGAGGAGAGACAGGGGAACATGTGATCCGCATTCAGTACAGGTTTGAACCCGCTCGAGTCATTTGGTTGACAGTAATTTTTTTTTTGTAAAACAGTTTTTTCTATCGTGTTCTAAAAATGAGTGACATCAATTTAGAGTAACGGTGCTCTACCAGGATTTGCTTCACACTTGGATAGAGTACAGCGGAAACTCTTGTTAACCAGGACTACGAAGATAGCGTTTTGCCAGAGCCGTCGATGAAGATGAACCATGAAGCGGAAGTAGTTGATCTTCAAGAACCGATGATAATATCGACAGTATCCGGGAACAGTTAAATCTGACTCACACCTCTGTTTATCAGATTGCGATAATGCCCCTTGTCGCTCAGCAAAGTCAATTAGCGAGTTTTTAACCAGTGAAAACATTCCCGTTGCTCCTCAGCCTCTTTATTCGAATTAGAGTCCATGTGAATTTTTTTCTTCCCGAAGTTGAAAAACCACCTCAAGGAAACTCATTTTGGAGCACTCGAAAACATTCAAATGGGAGTAACCGACCAGCTATTCCAGTATCAGACACCCAGCACTGATGAGTGGAATAGCCGACTCCAGTGCTGTGTGGCTTCAGAAGGAAGACATTTTGAGGCTGACAATATGAAACTGTAATTATATTTAGGTAAGAAAATTAATAAAATAGTCTCATTACTTAATTTACAGACCTCGTACATTGAGTACCGCGCCCTAATGCTGGAAAGATGAGTGACAAGTCCGCGTCTAGCTTGTGTTGGTATTTCCTACAACTTGGATTATTCGCTTGTTTTCCGACTAATAGACTTTTAGTGGAAGTCAAACCCAGGAATTCTCACATTTTAGGCGGATGCTTCAACCAACTGCAGGGGTCCATGGACCCCATTACGAAGCGTATCAAGCGCATCAGATGAAGCGCCGATCCGCAACTATCGACAGTGACAAAGAAAATAAACACCAAATAAAAATGATTTGGTCTGAATGAAATTGTGTTCACAGTTAGACATAAGTACGAGAAAGTCGTGATTAAGTTTTGGAGTGAATACTTTTGCTGTATCGCAAATTTTCCTAATAATGTGGTGAGTCACTCCAATGCCGTATACGAGGGTTATTTTTTAAGAAGCTTTATAAGGAGTCAGGGGAGCTACATTTATTAACGTAAATTGATTCACAAACTAAAATATGAACATGTTTTTACTTATAAACATAGTCGTCATGAATATTAAAACATTTGTCAAGTCATGGTACCAGCTTTTGGGTCTGTTGTCAGATAACGACGCCGCCTGACAATAAAATAAGGTCAGTAACTGTTTCTTTTAATATGTCTTCATCTACTAAGGCTTTGCCTCAAAAAATTCCTTTTCCTTTGGAAAAAGATGGTACTCGCTTGAGGTTGTATGGTGGATGATCCTTGATTTCCAGCGGAACTGTGCAGTTGCGTCTATGTTCTTAGTTCTTGTATGCTGAGCGTTGTCGTGAAGCACAGCTACGCCTCTAGAGAGCAGGCCTGCCAGCGGCCTTAAATAGCTTCAATGATTAATTAGTAATATATTCAGCAAGCCGCCGGTGAAATTCAAGTGGTCTTGAGTTTAAAAACCGAATTACCCAGCGCACTTCACAATAGGCGAGTTTATCGATTGACACAGTGATGGACAAAACAGTATAATAACAATGCCAACACCAACAGAAACGTAAAACATGACGCAGTGAGAGGCTGGCCAAGAGTCTCTGAGGATGATTGGGCGCCACGAAACAGGATGCGCTTGCTCAGTGCGCAATCGGTTCTCACATTAAAAATAGCTCTCGTACAATGGTTTAATTGTCACAGCATGATTCTGAGGAGGTGTTTTATGTCTTGTTTAGGTATCTTATCCCAAGCTAGTCTTACTTGGTTCCAAAAAACTGCTGGCGTTTGTGCAGGGTGAGGTAAAGACGTCACTGTTCTTCCCATCATATCCCATAAACGTTTAAAACACCTAGCCTTCTTCCAAATCCTCGTGGATCTACAGACCTTTTGCCCATTGGACAATTGTGGGATGTCATGGGGAGAAGAGTGATACCTTCTTGATTTCATCCTCCAAGAAGCATGTCCAGACTGTAAATAAATTTTCATTCAAATAACAATTTGACACTGAGTATACTTTTCTCATAAGACTTACTTGATAAGATATATTTTCTTTGTTAGGAAATATTGTAGACTATATCTATAGGTAGAATAATGCAACTCACAATGTTTATCCTAAGCCAATTTCCGCTGGCAGGTCCTAAATTAGAAAAGTTGCATCCATTGTACGCAGCGTTTTTACACCGAAAGTTACTATCGGTTTAATACAGATTTATAGATAGCGTTCCTCAAAACTCTGGAAAGTATAATAGGAGTTTTTTGTGGCGTCGTTGCACTTTTGATGGACATCTCTGCCTTTTTCCTATAATACTCCATCAATCCTTAGCCGACACACACTCGACGGGATGACAGCGATAAATCTTTGACCAGTAGCGGACGACACATTCTATACATTCACAGGTACCGGGTATTTAAGTATAGAGGCATTGTCCGCTTCCGTACTATCTCGGTAAGTAAGAGAGTCGATTATACCTTTCAAAAGTAACATTAACAGAGTTACCATCATTAGCACTAGAATTGTGTTGTTACGACCCGTTCTGATTCCTGTGGTGGATCTGGTCGGACTGAATCCGACCTCGCGGTCCAATCGGATCAGATGGAACGAAAACACAATCCCGTTCCACCAACGAAGATCGGTCCTGTGAATTTAAACTTTGAAAGGCTTTAAACGATACAGTTTAATCAGTCAGGTTGATGTTTTTACTTTCGCAGTGTTCGCTTCTGTTAACAGATGGCAGTTGGTGCTATATTATTTGAAAAAAGTAAACGCCACACTGTTTTCTTAAATGATTTAGCAATCATCGATATTACGAAACAGTTGTTGTTGGAAACCTTTTCTTCGTCAGCATCCACGTTCTATATAAGAAATACGGCACGAGAAACAAATCGAGTTCCGTCAAACGGTAGGCTTTAAATCCCTTCTAATATTATAGGGTAATTCTAGGACAGATGGCCCATCAGGTGAGTTGGCCCACCGTCAATATCTCCACAAATGTATGAAAGACCGATACTTTGGCAACACCGGCAGCCATTTAGTATTGCGTCATATGCTGTGTCAGCCGCAGTTAGTAATTGAACGTTTTATTACAGTAGAATTACAATAGAAGTGATGGTTATATGTACGATTTTTTTTTGACAAAGTATTAAAATTGCGTGAGAGGTACGTATTGTTATTTTTGCAAACAATTACAAATTCATCGGGTAGTATAAGGCCTGGCGGCATTCCTAACCTAAAATTAAATTGTTATTCGCATGTATAACTTAACGCCGAAGTGAGCCATCTATCCTTGTAACATTAGGTGAGTTGGCTCACTGCTAAGAGAGGAGAGATGGCTCAATTACTTAACATGATTTTAATAGTTATGAACTCTTTGCAGTTAAAATGCCTACCGAATATAAACGCAAAGGTAGTGTTTGTCGTGGGGAATGGTTAGAACAACAAGCTATAGAGGCTGTACAAGAAGGTAGAGTAGATGTTCGAGAAGCCGTTCGTTCCTTTGGTGTGCCATACACAACACTTCCACGACGCTTGAGAAGTGGCAATCATAGAAAGCTTCCGTTGGGACCATTATCTACTTTAGGACAAGAAAACGAAGTTAAATTGGTCAATCATATTAAAAAACTTCAAAAGTTTGGATTTTCGCCATCACGAACAACTGTACGCTCTATGGCATTTGAATTAGCCCAGAAATTAAATCTCCCACATAAATTCAATATTGAAAGACGTATGGCAGGATATCCATGGCTCGAGTCATTTTTAAGGCGCAATAAGGATCTAGCAGTGAGAAAATCCGAAGGTATGTCAGCTGCTCGTTGTTTAAATATGAATAGAGAAGTTGTGGCATCTTATTTTAACCTATTGGAAAACACTCTGATAGAATATAATTTAATTAACAAACCAGCAAGAATCTACAATGTACGTAGATGAGACAGGTCTACAAATGAACAACAAACCAGGCTTTGTTATTGCTCAGAGAGGTTCAAAAAACGTATCGGCAGTGACATCAGTAGAAAAAGGCGAAACAATCTCCGTAATAACATCTTGCAATGCGGAGGGGTCATTTATACCACCAACATGCATCTTTAAGGGTAAGAATCAGAAACCAGAGTTTGCCGATGGTATGCCACCAGGCTCCTTAGTATTCATGTCTGAGAAATCAGCTTAAGTCAATAATGTTTTATTTTTGAGGTGGCTTAAAGAACAGTTTGTCCCAAGGAAACCTCCGGGATATGTTATGTTAATCCTCGATGGACACTCATCGCATTGCAGCAGCGTAGAGACACTAGAATATGCTTCTGAAAATGAAATAATTTTTGTGTGTCTACCTAGTCACACATTTCAATTTCTTCAGCCTCTAGACAGAGGAGTTTTTAAGTCACTAAAGGCGTTTTATTATAAAGAATGTAATGCTTTCATTAGAAGAAATCCCAATCGACGCATTAACAGATTGATTTTTGGACAATTACTCGCTGCAGCTTGGGAGAAATCAGCAACTGTTAAAAATGCGGTTTCATCTTTCAGAGCTACAGGAATTGTGCCTTTCAATCCGTCTGCGATTCCAGATTACGCTTATCTTACTGACAAACCTCAGGTAGCTTCACCTAATGAACCTGAATCTCAAGTTTTACCGAATGGTGAAATATCTGTTGGCAATAGAAATGAATCTGCTCAGGATTTATCTATTATTGAAATATTCGAATCGGTAGTGAATGATTCAGCTGGACCATCTGATATGAAGACACCTGAGAAAGAAATAGATACCCTTGGAAAAATACTGGACAAAATTAACCCGATTCCTATCACTGAAGCAGTCTCTTCTTCGAGGAAGAGAGGTGGACAGTTGGCTTCTGTCTTGACCAGCAGCGATAATATTAGAAATAAGAAAAAGAAACTAGAAGAAAAATTACAAGCTGAGGCGAAGAAACGGAAAAAGAAAGAAAACAAGAAATGCATTAAACCAGGCCCTAGCCGAGTTCAAAGTAAGTCTAAAAAACGGAAGCAATCTACATCTTCTTCTTCTAAAGAAGAAATAATATATGATGATTCCTCGGAATACGAAGATGAAACAAGTAAATGCGGTGGATGCGGAGATTTTTATTCCACCACCACAAAAATGGATGACTGGATTCAGTGTGTGACGTGTTCCAGATGGGTACATGAAGGGTGCACCAGATTTGACAATTTTTGTGATGCATGTGGAAAGTCGCAGCAATAATGAAGCCATCTCACCGAATACTATGGGCCAACTCACCCATATATTAAAGGAGAGATGGCTCAGTCTGATATTTTATTTTTTTCGTTTCTTTGAGAATAAAATTTAAGTTTGATTATTTTTTCTGTTGTAATAATATTCTTCATATAAGCCTGGTTTAACCTAAGTTATTAAATGATTTTTCTGGGGTATAATAAAGATGTTATGTTGATTTGTAAAAAGGTGGGCCATCTGTCCTAGAATTACCCTAAATGATAAAGTGTGGATGTTTTCTACTCAATCACGCCAAAATGGAAGAACGATCTGGATAAGATTCGGAATACGCTACTTTTTATTCCGGGAGATAAGTTCGAAATATCTGTCTCAGTCGCTGGTCTGACATGCGTTCCATACGCGTCCCTGCTTTGCGGTGTGGACTCACTGGCGAGCGTGCCGGTCTTGACGAGTGACCTGGACTTACTACCGAGCTACCGCGTCGTGCGGTCACGTGTCAGGAAAGGTGATATTGCCAGATGAACTACCGTTAGGACAAGGAAAGACCTACGGACTAAGGTGTGACGGCGTTGCGTCGCAAGTGCAGATTCAACCTACTTGTGCAATTTTGTCTCTGCTTTTTGATACCGCTTGTCCTGAAAGAGGATTTTAAGCTTGTGAGTAGTTTCTTATGGACATTCTAATGAGTTTTGTAGCAGGTCCTTAAGAAGGAAATATACATTTTCGATAGCTTGACATGAACACAGTACAAACTTTCCACGCGTGGGCGTCGTGCTGATAAGGTGATCGATATCCTGTTGGAGTATCTCGTTCCAGGCTACTGCAACTTTGTGAGTAAAGGCGACCTATCATGTCCCAGACATGTTGAATTGGAGATAGGTCAGGCGATCGTGGTGGCCAAGCTAAACGGTTGATGCGATGTTGATCCATTAAGGCTAACAATGCTCTGGCAACATACGGTCTGGCATTGTCTTGCTGAGAAATCGGGTTTTGGATGGTGTTTATGTATGGAATAAGATGAGGCTCCACTACTTGCTGAATATAGCGTCGGGCTGACATATTGTATCTGATCAAAATTAGTGGTGATTTGTTATCATAGCACACCATACCATAACTCCAAAGGTGTGGTGAACGTGACGCTCTCTGTCAAATTGTGGGTCACGTCTTTCATCACGTCGCCTTCTCACTATTGTCCGATCATCGTGCATCCCCAGACAGGCAGAAGCGGGATTTGTCAATAAAGATCACCTGATTCCACTCCCGATTCCATAGAATTCTTTCTCTATACCAGAGAAAACGGTTACGCCGAAATTTAATATTTAACTGACACCGTAAATGTACGAAAACTGAATGCTTCTTTATCACCAAGCAATATACGCAGCCACCACAAAAACTTAACAGAAAAACCTGACCATTTTATCACTTGTTGTTCATGGCAAGATACATCGATAGTAAAAAATTATTAAATTCTTGAAAACCTTTTCACTCAGTATATACTCGTACAGGGTGGCGCATCGAAAACGAAACAGACGCATTTACTGGCAGCTCAGTTTTTTTTTGGAAACACGCTCAGAGACGTCGATTTTGTTTTCGAGGGGGACACAAGTTTGGCAAAAAATCACGTTAACACGTGCAGCTCCCTGGGCGGGGGTGACACCTACCCTAAAATCTTAAATAGAAAGGGGGCTCGAGTGATACCTTAATTTAAAGGACTTTCAATTCCCTTTATAATGATGTAAAATACATGAGCTTCAGTTCAGTAGTTTTGAAGATTTATTGATTTAAAGCTTAAAGTAGACTTTAATAGGTACATCAGATTAGCTTGTACTATTTTCAGAAGGAATTTGACTAAACGAATTTACTTAATAAGTAAATGCTTTTCTTCACTACGCCTATGGTTTATTTATCATTTTGTTGTTGAAAATAGCTATTGGAGCGTTTTTTTGTGGCAAAAAAGTTATTTCTTGAAGAAAGATAAGGAAATATCTCGTACTTATTTTAAATAGGAATTTAGTACATAGTTTGCGATTGATTTGACCAAACTTTGTTGCTAAAATAACTTGTAACGCTTTATTATATAAATTAACCGTGGTATATTCTACAGCAGAAAGAGTTGAAATTATCGAAATATTTTTCGGAAATAATCAGTGCGCTAATAGAACAGCAGAAATATTTAACGAGCGACATGAGAACAGTAACGTGCATCGAAAATATGTTCTATAACTTGTAGCTAAATTTCGGGAAACTGGGTCAGTCGCCAATAAAAAACGCAACATTGAAAATCCCATAAGGAACGAAGAAATAGAAGTGGGGTTTTAGGGCAAGTTTATGTAGATCCTACGATAATCCGCAAATTGGAGACTGTGTGTGGTGTTAGTCGACGTACTTTCCAACGGATTCTAAAGGCCCATAGTTTTCATCCGTATAAAATTCACCTGGTACAAGAACTTAATGAAGACGATTTTGATCGGCGATTACAATTTTGTGAGGATATGTGTAGTACATTAATTTTATATCACTATAAAGGGAATTGAAAGACCTTTAAAATAAGGTGTCACTCGGCCCCCCTTTCCATTTACGATTTTGGTGGTGGTGTCACCCCCGCTTAGCTAGTCAGCAAGACTATCTTTCTCCTCCAATTTCGAATTTTATTTTTATTACAATACTTCTACACTAGTGGCGCAGGAAGCAGATGGACGATAATCAAGTTATTCTACGAGTAAAACTGGAGAGGGGACGGCACGTGTATTGATATAATTTATGGTAAGCGAATTCCTGGATCGACCTTCGATTCGAGGATGATGTTTGGGTGTAGAAGTGTTGTACCCGTGGCAGACGTGATGACTCATAATGCGAGCCTTTCACAACGGATCTGTTTGCGGATGCGACGGCGACGATAGGGATGTTTTCGATTTCATATGATCGGGCATGTTTTCCTATCGATTTGTAGGACAGACCAATGCCAGTTTCAGCGCAAGGACACAAAATACAGGGTGTCACAGTCTCATCCTTTTATAAGCCATCGGATATAGTTTTGTTCTGACCTGATTCTCATCCTCACACTCGTCGGCAGGCATTTTCTAAGATGTCCAAGTAAGAATTTTAGCAGTTTTCAATGATTTTCGGGAATTGTTGATAATAAAATATTTAAACAAGGAATAAGAGTTTGCCTTTATTTGAGAAAACCTCACTTTATCTGTTCTGAATGTCACAAGGAGCGCCGTATATTGACTATAAAGATGTTGTTGACGCAGCAATTTATTGTCATTTTCTTGGTTTGAGAGCCCTCTTACTAGTATTCTCTGTCTGTTCGCACGTATGTTCTATAGATGTTTACCATGAAAATTCGCATTAGAATTCTCTCACGTATAAAAAGACAGCTGACATCTTCCGCATAATTACTACCATCACTTTTGGAGTAATCCTGGTGTATGCAAAACGGATCTAATATAATCTTTCGAATCTAATATGTGGAACATATCTTGTGGTGTTCCTGCTGATGCCATGTTTTCCTAGCCAAATGCAACGACATTTTCAAAATTACATGTTTTACCTCTACTCCGAAAAGGGCCACTGTTATAATCGAAACGTCAGTAAAAAGTAATTTTTACATATGTGGCTTTATTTGGCCACAGAAACGTTTTATTAGTATTTTTTATGTAACGATATAGAGACTTAGGTTGTTATATATGATATTCTTTGTCATTGTCATTGTTTAATTGACAGGAGATTATTTCTCTGATATCTCTAAAATGAAATGAAATAGATTCAATTCTTTCATCTTAACCATTTGTTGAAATCTAAGTTATGTTTGAGAGCTTATATGACATAAAAGCCAAAAAAGAACCCCCTTGTATATTGGGTATTATAACAGATATTTAGGTGTTTTCATGACACAAGCTACTCATGAGTCCAACATCGACTGTATCTCTTCCAATGTCTTCCCTTTGGTTTCCGGTGCTACACATTTGGTGAAGATCGCACTACCTGCACAGCTTAATCCATAGATCCAGAAACACCATTGCATGCCCAAGTACTCCATGAAAAACGGAAACGTTAGTGCAATTGCTGTGTTGAAGATAGTAGCTGTAACAAGACAATTTTTTTTCAAAAATTGCTTAGTGCTGTTTCAATCCCAAAGTCAAACCTCTTGTCGTTCAAACAAACAATATCGCCTCCCTGAGGATGTTTTAAGACATGACTTGACGTTTGCATTTCACAGTAGGCTGTACAGAAGCTATCTGTATTCTTATTTTCAATAATTCCTTTAAATCTATCACTCAAGCATCATCTCCTTCTTACCTTCACAGTAATATATTACAAAGCGTCTAAGCGCAGCCTATTAAAACTCGCAGGACCTGAAATATCTGAAATTTTTAGAACTATTGGGTAACATTTCACGCTCAAACTATCAAACGTTGTGTATAACAAGCTGTGCAGATTATTACCTTTATTCAATTTAATAAAGCCACTAAGCAAACACTTTTAATTGCTGTTTCGCATTTAGTAACATTTAGCAAAAAGTATGTCGTCCAAGATCTATCATCAAAATGTTTAATATGTAAAAGATAACTCATCTAAAATCCTCCCTTCAGGCTTCTTCAAGGTGTTATTATTTGTTCAAGTTCAATGTACGTCGATGAATGCCTCCCAAAATTTTCTACGCACCTATGCCCATGCAAATGGGGACTCCAACATTTTTTACATGCTGTGGAAACAGTTCAGATACGTAGGCGAAAGGCACTGGCCCCAAGCCGAAAGAATATCCCATGGAGAAGATCAAGATCGCAAGTAATGGTATCGGAGCTAGTTGATCCACGAAGCTGTAGCCCATTGCCTATTCAAAGGATAACGAATGAAATGGTTAATTTAGGTCCGTATTGTCAGTCGTCCCTACAATTGTAGGGCATCTTTATGGTCTCCTTGATTGTCATAGTTTTCTACTTCTCCGTGTCAGCGCTCTATTTTGAGGTTATGTCACAAACATCTATTTGCATCAAATTGTGCTTGCTTTTGAGTTATGTCATGTTTTATCAGCCTGAAATTTCCTACAATTTAAAAAGAAAACATATCTTCACAATAGGAGAGCGCTGACGCTGACACGGGACAAGTGTAATCTAGAAATTTTTGAAGGAGAGAAAGGTGTATGACAATCAAGGAAGCCATAAACGCGCCCTACAATTGTACCATGATTTTTTTCACAATTTTGGGAAAGAAAATTTGCTGCCGCTGCTCTTTAAATAGTTTTTGGGATAAGTACACTTTCACATACTAACGGAGCTGTAGCTTGTTGGGAGTATATTAAATGTAATGAGATATACGAGGTCCATCAAGGTTCTATTTAACTAGCGCACAGTAAGGGATCTGAAATACTCTAGCACCATGCATGGGACAGTAGCAGAACCAAACACTCTCACGCTTGTCAAAGTACATTTCCAAGTCCATTTTTATGCTCCTCTAATATCTCATAGAAGGCACTAGTATCTTTCGGATCCCTTCTTGGTTGTCAAAAGATAGTATATGGTTGGATATCTTTAGGCAGAAAAAGTTAATCAATGATTCATCTTACCTGTAACTGGAAGTAAAGTCCCAGAAAAAAATGACAAATTGCGCAACAAACTGAAGACCCAATCATTAGAGGCTTCCTTCCAAATCTGTCAACAACTACCGCAGCTGCAAAGCTACTTACAAGCTTGATGCTTGCTACCAAAATGGCCCAAGTGTTGCCTGACCAATGGTTGCTGCCTACCAAGTCAACGATGGGACCCAGGAAAGCGTGTATTACCGTTACTCCTGCTAGTAGGTGGAAAATCATCATGCAGGTGTTTATGAATAGAACTTTTCTGCATTTTCGATCCCTACAAGATTTAAAAAATGTGATTTTTTTCTCAAAATTTCTTAATTTTACCAAGTGGCTTGCGACTGAGTCGAAAACTGGACCCAGAGACTAATTGCAGCACTTATATTTTTTATAACGGATATGACGTCAATATGCATAAGAAGAATTTATGTTCCTGCATTTGTGTTTTTTGAAATCGTAGCTAAAACTAACGCACGTAAGTTCCGAATATACTTGGTCATTGCATACATGTTTACTGCTGTATAACGCATATAGTATGCTGTACGAGTGCAACCCAATAATTTATTTTTGAGGGATGAATGTTCTAAAAATTCCATATCTATATATTTGTTGTATCAATTTGTTTGTAGCTAAATCAATATTATGGATCGTTATTATGGACTGGCATTATTAATTTGTGTGTTTAGAAAAATGTTAGAAAGTTGATCTATCTCAGAAACGGTTGATCTTTGGACACTAGATTGTATTGTCAAATTTATCGGTAATGACCTCATCGAATATGTATATTACTATTACCCACAACGCCTACTGCAACCCTGTATACTGGTACCTAGTAAAGTGAATGTCTTACTCGAAAAGACTAATGTAGGTGGTCTTCTGCTGCTGACCATCTGTCATTTTTCCTTGTACAACACTTTCTATCTGCTTCATTTCCTTCCGAATGTCTTTTGTGCATCTCAGCTTCTCAAGATTCTTCGCCACCTCATCCCTGGGCCTATTCCTACTCACCAAAAAGTATGGGGTTTCCGGTACAAAGACCGACATGAGGAGTAGAGATAGTACAAGGGGTGCTGAGCAGAGTAATGTGTAGACTTTGGTCGAAAAATAGGGCCCTAACGTATAAGAGTACAGCATGCCAGCCAAAAGCATTACCATTATAAAAAGAACGAATCTGTGAACAATATCAGTCAATTATTTTACTTCCTATGCCAATTTTGGAGGAGGTCATAGTGATTGAAAAAAAGTTTAAAAGTGAGATACAATGTTACATGACGCATAGGTACATCACGAAAAATCATGTCACTAACCCAAGTAGCACCGAAAGGGGTTACTAGGTACATTAAGGATGCATTACATCTGTTGTAATAAACTCGCCTTCAGCATAAAAGGGAGCACACCTTAAACGGAAAATAAATCAAAAAAATAAAAACCTTCATGAAGCTTTATTATGATGAGCAACTGTTTTTAAAACTGCTGATGGTATCAGTGGCCGAAAGCTAAACCATTTAGTCAATCGACAGAGAAATGTTAGTGTCAAAGGACTTCATTTTATTCTAAGGGTTCATAACCCAGAAAACTTAGAATTGAAACCGTTTAATTCTAACGCGACTACGAAAGATGCCGCTCCGTTTTAATGTAAATCTAACTTTAAAACTGGCGAGTCATAGTGGTCTAAACAAAATGCATCGTCCAGTTTGGACATGAAAGGAGAGGAATTCACTTTAGTTTTATCGTTTCTAGCTTGGTAATTGCACTTAAAAAAGCTAAGGAAATAGGTATAAAGCAGATCATATACTGACATACTAGCAGATGTAACGATTGGTATTTTTGGTTATATTGAGAGGATATTTGAAACTTCTTAAATACTACAACTTCGCAAACTAGAACGTAATAAAACTAAATAGCCCGCAAGTTCTCGCTCTTAGACGTTGGTAAGGTGACATTTTTTGTATATTATGATTGAGTATCGGCCTGAGAAATTCATGAAAGGAAACATTTAGTACCATAAAAAATCATATTTTGCTAAAAATGAAAATTTTAGAAGGCACCAAGTTTTAAACACTGAGCTATATTTATAGTTTTTCAGACTTAATCGCTTGAGAGTCGAAAGCGTTCAACTTTAGAGGACAGTTACCATGAACCTTTTTTTGTTCAGAATGATCTAAAAAGAACTGTTTTGTAATTTGTTTGAAAAAAATAACAAGTTGCAAAATTAGCACGGTTTTCGCCCGTCTATAGTGAGAATTTTAGGACTTGTGTGTGGGTGACTTGTTTTCTATCTTAGACTTATAGTAAATGGTTTAACCACAATGTACAATGATGTGGTATCACTTTCGTACTATCGTTTAAACGTTCATTGTTGTCATATTACAAAAATATTACTTTGCCAATCCGAAGGTTGTTATCATGAAATTAAAAATTTAAGTTCATTTACGCGTCTAGTGTTTTTAAATTATAGTCACATCGTCAAAGAAGCGCTTCCAATTACCATAAAGATAGTTGAGAAGGTTATCTATGACACTATGACATGTATGTTTACCTACCTATACGTAGATTAGGTAACAACTAAACTATGTCATAGTAGAATAACTCACGTAATTCTGTCACCAATTAGATTATGTTTGGTTTATTCTAGAATTTAACTAACTTGAGTCCTTAAAAGTAAATAGGGGGCTCTTCGAAAAGCACTGCACCTGTATGTGGTTCCATTTGGTCAGATAAAACCTTTTCTCTAGTTACGTTGATCCAGAAACCAGTTTCTGTTTGAAAGCGTGAATAACAGCAAATTTTGTTTAGGTACGCGATGGAGGACCATTATATACGTATTTTATCCCGGTACTCGGTAGGTAGAGCGATACACCCAATTTCTAAAAAATAAATTACACCGCTCCGAGTAACATTTAACCTGGCCAGTTTGTACTTAGGCGTCATAATACCTAAGATTGAACGAGGTGTTATCATATAGTTTCAGTACCCAATGTTTATAAAAATGTGCAGTGTGCACATGATCATGGAAAGCTGAAATACACAAATTTGTCAGTTTCATAAGGAAATGTTGTCAAGTAAGTGGACTCTATGTACTTTCCAAGCACGGTCACCGTCAGTTCATGGAAGATTACGCTTGGCAAAAGTTAGACCATCAGAGGAAAAGTTAGCTACAAACATGTAAAATAAAAATTAAATGAATCAAGTCAGTCAAACAGGCTCACACAAACACGGCAGCGTAGAAGTGACGAAACGATACTCATAGGGGGGAGAAAGATTGCAATGCTTGTCGACCCAGAGAGAGACGCGCGATATGTTTTTATCTCCCTAAAAAATTGAAATATACTCTCACCCACCATACACCTCCACCTCCAATTTTAAACAGCTTCGATTTTTATTTTCTTCGTTTTTGCCCTTAGTTCTGCCACCACAGGACGAATTTTCACAAACTACAAAGTTTTTTCGTACGTAATAGTAACCCTCTGTTCGTCGTCGTCAGACTCTGAGCCGTACGTTCCAAGTTAAAGACGGACAGACCGACGGCAATGAAGTGACAAGGTTTTCCGTGATGTACCTACATGTACACATACATATAATATCCAAAAAACATTATGTCTCATCCAGTGGCGTAAAAAATGCAGTTAATGTGTATAAGATAATAAATTTTTCATTTTATTTTTGCAACATTGCATACGCGCTACGCGAGCACCTGATTGCATTACAGAACTGGTTCGAAGGTCTGGTACCGTAACGGAAGAAAGTAGCAAAACATATCGTACGCCAATGATAAGGAGGCGTGTTTTTGAGATCGCTGGAATCCGCACGAATCGACTTTACTGATTCAAAGGTACGTTGTGCCAGCAGTAACGTACGACCTGTTATGCTACTGTCTACCGCTTTAGTACCCGAGTACCACTGCGGCGGACCATAAGTTGGATATCAAACGCAACCATGGGCGGTGCTCTGCTGAACGTTCGCGTGAGCGTGTTTGTTATGTTTTACTCTACCTTCCCCTATTTTCTTTCCGTGCCGTTTCTCCAATGTACATGGGTATCATGTAAAAACAAGCACCTTTTCCCATTCCAATGATCATCCTACACAGGCAGTATAACCACCAGGTTCTAGAAAATGCTTCTAATACTGAAGCTATTGACAGGCAGGTCGCTATCAGCACCATCGCAGGCCTGCGCCCATAGCTGTCAAGTACCTGCAGGAACAACTATACCTATACAAAAATTCTAAAGAAACTTGACTAACTTAAGTCGATGCTAAAATCTTCCGACGTTCCTCTCTAACCCTTTTCGATCAGTCTTGTCTTGCATTATAGATATACTGAATCGGTGGTGACGAAGATAAAATTTACATTTTCATTACACGGCTGGCCAACAAAGGTACTATAAATGGCAACACTGGTGAATTTCAGTGGCCGCGATACCCTTTCTTTGCAGACCTTTTATTACTGTTCTTACTCCAACACGATCCATTTCTGTTACAATCCTTGTCACACATTGACCAAAAATCACATAATATGGAAATGGTTTGACATAAAAACTAGGTGTGTTGTTAACATATCCTAAAATTAATTTTTTTTTATATTCCAACTACCACGAAGGCCTAAGGCCTAAACACCCATTGGGTACCGTGGGGCTATAGGGGGATACAGGGGAAAGGGGGAACGCCACACGGACTCTGGTGAGGGAACACGTGTGCATGCAACATGCACACATTCTGGCTCCGCCTACGAGATCCGCCGGATGGTACCTCCACGTTCGACAGTCAGAGACCGTCTACCACCTACGGACAATCACAACATCCATAGCCAAGAGAAAAATTTCTCCTGGGACGGGACTCGAACCCGCACAGCGCACGGCGACTGATCAGGAGACCGAAGAGTCTACTACTGCGGCCACCGCTGCTGACTTGTTTTACTGTTCAGCAATTCTCAAATATGCGCCAGCAAAGAGGTGTTGCATAGAGATCAACCACCATAGATTTATGAACGTCGCCATCTGCTGCCATCTGGTGGAGACAGGGGTGGCAACTGCTAGTGGTGGCTGGTATCCCACCAATTTATCTGCTGGCTAGAGATGCGCGCTCTACACAAGAAGCGCCAAATCTGGAATCGACGAAAGAAAGGCGCTCTCTGTTGGATCTCAGGGATCCAGGATCAGAAATCTCTTAGGGATTTCTGATTCTGGATACTAAAGCTTGGATTGACAAGTGAGCGCAACACATGGTTGTTTTGATGAAGATTTTAGCATGACTTACGCTTGATAGATATTTATATATTTGCTTATTTAACGAACCAGGGACATCAAATACAGTGTAGTTAAACGTACTGCTTCATAAACACTGTTATGCAAATATAAATTAGAGCGTTATAATATTCAACTCAGTAACAATAATAATAAACAGAAAATGAAAATGTAGCTTACTGGAGAGTGACCAATATTTTGTTTTTAACTAAGTATTTGAACTTTAACAATTCGTTATCAAAATATCAGAAAATTTGCGATGGTCATTCAGATTTCTTTGCATTCGTATCGGTAGAGAGTTTAAACCAATATTCGGCCCGCAAAACGGGATATTGAACTATGAACGTAATAAGAGTTTATACCAACCCTAGGTGGAACGAGGCATACTACAAGTGATCCAATGTAGAAGGACCCAACTATAAACGAAATGCCACTAACCGAAACTGGTTCGTCCAAAGGATTTATTGTGGCATCTTTGGATTTTAACCTTGGTATCGTAGGAGAAGCCCACGCTATGTGAGCTCCCGCTCCAAAAGTCAACAAAGTAACTGTGTAAAATAAAAAATAGATTAGGACCAATAACTCATATACAGGGTGTAAACGTTATGGTAGTCATCAGTGAAGTGGGTAATAGGGGGGTCAAAACAAGTCAAAAAGTTCATATGACTCATGGTCCAAAAGTCAATAGATTTTTGTCTAAATGGCTTTATAGTTTACAACTTTAAGCGTTTTATATCGACCACAATCACCACAATCTTACTAATTTTTATAATCTAATCTAAAACGTTTTTGAATTTGGTAATTAACAAATAAATGGCATTAAGTTGTTCTAAGTTAAGCCAAAATTTGTAGTCAGTAAGAAAGTAAGTTTCATTAAATTGAATATTTAAAACATACTTGTCAACAGCGCGTCGGTCATCATCACTCTTATTGAACCGGCAATCGATCGCAAACGGTAACAGTGGTTAGTTATCCTTTTGCATAGTTTTTCGGCGTTGTCAGATTTATTTTACTTTAAAGTCGCTTTTCTCTAAAAAAATGCCGTTTTGACCCCCATGTTATATGAAACTTTTTTCTTCTTTTAACCACTTCTATCACCCTGTATGACACTGATAACTCACATCTAGACATGTTTCAAAAGTTGATCCCAGACATTTCTTGCGCGTATTGTTGCTGTTGTTAGCAGCGCGTACAAAATTTTGACCATTATTGAAAGTTTATTCAAAAAGGGGTAAAAAATTGGGAAATAGAGGTTGTAGGGGGTGAAAGAGGGTGTATCGCATTTTTTTGAGGTTATTATATTAATCCACTTCCGACCTCAGTAATTCTACGCACCTATTAGATATATTTTCCTGTACATTTGCTCTTAAAACTTATTTAATATTTCTGCTCTCAAGACGGAGAAAAGTGAATATCCTTACCGAACAACTTTATTCCTGGATTGTTGTTTACGAGAAATTGTTTCCGACGTATTGTAATCGCTGTGCTATGCAGTATACCAGGGGTTATCTATTAGTAGTTGCTTCTAGTGTATGGTGCAGATTAGAGCTCTTCCGTCCTACTGGGTGAGTACTGAGGTTTTGTTAGAGGTACACACATTTTGCACCAACTGTAGTTTATTAAGGCTCCACGAACTTCACCCTGCAGTTTTTTCGAAGTCATGTTTTCCACCCCCAACTACCGGTGTTGCACTTTTCCGAACTAGGAACTTTCTGTCGTCGTGGACTAGGACAGCCGCGTATCTGCTCTTAGCAGATAAATTGGATTTTCCAACTCCTCGCTTCCTGAGGAGCAACTTCCACTTGTTGATCGAGGTGACCCCGCAACTCCGTCATTCTTTTCACGTTGAAAGAGGAACACCTCCCTACCCCAACTCCCGTAGCTGGCATGTTTATTCCTTCTTAGACATTACAACTCCCCCCCCCCAACTTCATTACCCTTCAAGTCGTATGCCTTTTCACCACGGAATCAATGCCATCTGTAGGTATGGATAGCCAATCCATCAGCCCGGCTGATCTTCTATCGCATGTTACTACACGCGGTGCGATACGGAAGCCAACCACTGAGTGCAATGCTCAGCTCAGCTTCTGCAGATAGGGATGACGTAAAATGCTTCCCGATGGCCCCCAAGACTCATTCCGGGTGTTCGTCATCCCCTACCACATCAACCTGGAATAAACCAGGCCGGCCGACCAACAACTGTCCTTGGGCTACAAAATCATAGAAGATGCCCCCAGTTCCTTCCCACAAGAATCCATATTGGGCCTCAGGCATGACGGATTGGTATAAGTGCAGGTTTTGTGAGAGGAAATTCCAGTCATATTCTGGCACAAGGCTGCACACTAAGAAAGCCCATTCTATCGGGTACAACAGGAAACAAAAGTATGCCAAGAAGTACTTCTTGCAAGAAGAGGCTCGCGTCCGGCCAGAAGCTAGACTCGCCGCCACAGTGAAAGATAGCGGACTTCAACAAGTTAGTCCTCCAGTCACCAATGAAACAGAGCTCCCGACCCACTCAACTAACGCGGATGTTGAACAGGCTGGGCCTTCAGGTTGAGCTCCACAGTAACCACCATCAGATGCCAATCACTAGAATAGTTCATCCACTTCCACCATCACTTGCAATAGCTTAGGCAATAGTTTTTCACAACCATTTATTGATAATAGAATTACTACACCTCCATCTCTCAGTTCATCAACAATAGACATTGAGATAGACTTGCTGACGCATACTCATCGCATCTTGGGGGGCTTACTAATTCACACATCATATATATTTCCTCGAATTTACCTTTAAAAGGTAGAATGGCAGAGAAATGTCTTCGAAACACGTCTCCTCCTGCCATCTGGGCTCAGCGCCCAGCGTACCCGACTGCTGCGTCTGACGGCATGGGATGGGGCAATCTTGGCAAGTGGAGGGTAGCTAGCGGTAGTCCAGGGAAGGAATGTCTGGAATAATTGTTTGACTGACTTCGTCCATTAAATTTTTCTATCATATATTTTCGTAGTTAATTTTCTTCTCAGAATATTTTTTTGAACTGGATCATACGGCTGAGTGTATAAGACCAACTTGGATGTTTTACTGTTTTCATCAGGGATATAGCAAGTACAATTTTTACATATTTTCAAGCTTACCTGTGAAAATGCTGGCAACGAGATAAAATCTGCTTCCTTCCTTCTCGTCATTTTCACTTTTAAATTCATACTCACATTCACCTTTTTCACAATGTTCACTACTCCTCAACCTTTCCAGTTCATCGGCAATGTGTTCCATTCTACAGCTAGACTTTTATTGACCTGAGCCACCTTTTTGCAGCACTTCATGTTGCTATAATTGCAAGATAATTATTTAGTTGCACATGTAAGAAAAGAGGTAAGTGGGTTAGGAGTAGTATAGACAAGGCAAAAACCTCGCGTTGACGCGAGATATTTTCTGGCTAGATTTTTTTCATAACTACTTTACTGGATGCCCCTTGACATGTATTGAAAGGTTCCTGAACAGTAACCCAGTTCAAATTTATTTAAGCAACCTTGTGAAACAAAGTGCCTAAAATTGCTTTTTTTTGCTTTTTGGAAAGCTTCAGACGCTATGGAAATTTGCCTCCATAGACAGAAATGTTGACTAACGTAGTGAGAGATCCTGGAATTTCATTTAAAACACTTATTGACATGAGTAGTTATGCCATCACTACCAGACGATTGTTTGTTTGAAAAGTTGGAAATGATTGATTTCACTTCTTCATCGGTGATCTCAATGTAGAACATTGACTGCGCTACATGTATTTTAGCTGTCGCTGTTGATAGTGGGGGACTCATTTGAAGTATTGTTGGGGCTTACTATTGTTCTTAAAAAAATGTTTCAAAAAACCGTCAGGTACACTGATCAGTTCTGCATCTCCAATGTTGTCGCCTTTCAATGAAATTAAATAAAGCATATGAACCCCGTCGCAAAATTTTCGTGGTGCTATTCAGTAAGCTGGGCACGCAAAAAATGCCAATACAAGCTCAAACAAGGTCTACTAGTTGCATGCGAACGCAAGAATCAATTATGGATTCTCATAATGCGGAAACATCACTTTTGGGTCCACCCTTTCATCGACGGTCAGCGACGAAACATTTTTCCACTCTTTTTTCTTTTACCAGCTGTGAAAAATAAGCAAATCAAAAGAAAAATCCTTCAACCTAGTCACTCTGAATTAGAATTCGAAGTTACGTTCGAGATGTGACATTGCAAAAAACTATTTTCGATTTTTGTTTAAAATAGCAGTTCATAGTTTTGAGTAATATCATGATACTTGTTGCAAGCAACTTCAGTTTCACATTTCATGAATTAAATTTCTCTATTGTGGGTCGCAACTTACTGCTTCGATCCCTTCAACATTAATACTGTTTGAAAATATAAATAACAAAAATAGTGCCGCTTGTAAATATTTAAAATTCCAATCAAAAGGATATTTTATTATGGGTTATTATGATGTACTTGTCCCTAAAAAAGCTATGTAACTCCCTCGTATCTACAAAATTGTAAATTTCCTTGAATAAATCAATTATACCCTATCGAGCATCCTACATGAAAAAATATGATATACGAGATTTGTTCAAAAAGTATCGCGAATTTTTAGTTTTCGATCTTCTTGTGGCGTTATGTTGGTACTCATAACACTCACTAATGTTGATAATATCGGTCGTTTTAGCTTGTCTCCGATTTTTGTCTATTCCAAAAAATGGATCAAAGAATTTGTATTAAATTTTGTGTAAAAAAACAACTTGATGTGCGCGGACATATTCCAAATGTTGACTGTTGCATACGGCGAAGCTACTTTGGACAAAAGCAACGTCTGTCGGTGGTTCAAAATTTTCTCAGAGGGCCGAGCGACGAAAAGTGTTACGGTCGCCCGAGTACGTCAACAAAAGACGAAAACATTGACGAGTTCTTGCTGCAGGGTAGAACGGCCAATAAGGAATAATACCGTCAAGTAATGCGCAATTTGCGAGAAGCAATCCGCCAGAAACGCCCGGATTTGTGGAAGAACAAAAATTGGCTTTTGCACCATGATAACGCCCCTGCTTATGCGCCGTTACTTGTGCGCGAATTTTTGGTCAAAAACAACCATACAATAATGTCTCTCCCACTGTATTACCCAGACCTGGCCCCCTGTGACTTTTTCTTGTTCCCGAAACTGAAAGCCCCTTGAAAGGACGACGCTACGCCACGATTGCGGAGATAAACACGGTATCGAAAGAGGAGCTAAACATGCTGACAAGAAATGATTTTTCAAAATGCTCCGAGGATTGGAAAAAACGTTATCACAAGTGTATAGTGTCTGATGGGGATTACATTGAAGGGGATAAAATAGATATTCATGAATAAATAAATAATTCTTGAAATTCTCGATACTTTTTGAACAAACCTCGTATTTAGTGAAGATAAACCATTTATTAGTTCATACGGTCAGTGATTTCGGCCGGCGGACTCGATACATATCGGTATCGGGGATCCCTAATTAACAAGCAAAGTCTGGCCATTTTCAACGCTCAGAATCTCGGTTGAAGGATATGTTTTAGGTTGCCAAGTAGATGCTACCAAATTACTAAATAAAGCGTCAAATCTTTCCCTAGAAGACCCCAAAAAGTATGGGCTTAGTCAGTGCGAAAGGGCTTCGAGACTGTCCGATACAGAAGATTGATCGATCAGTCGAATAGCAAGCACCTCAAGCTGTGAGCAATATTCGAGGTTAGGTGTGTTATCTGGGCCTTGTACAGGAGGTTATGCGGAGAAAAATACCTAATAATTCGTAGATCTGAACAACTAGACCAATCCCAGCAGTTACCTCGATCGACGAGATGCGTTTAAGCAAATCCTTGGTCATCTATCGAAACCATGTAAGTGCTTCTTGTTAGTCAAGGTATGGTACTGTATTTTGGATGGCTGAGGACAGAGAAGGGCATCTGTGCTGTCACTTTATTAACCGGTAATATAGCAAGAATACATACAACTTTTTGGTGTTGGAATACATTTCAATATCGCAATTTGCTATAAGACCATAAAAAATATGAGCGGTCGATCTCCATTCGCTCGGGGGTTACTAAAGACCTTTTCTGTTCAGAAATCTGAAAAAACTACTTTTTTATAATTTTTTCAAGATGATTTAGCTTTGCGCTGGCTTACCGTCCGGCACCTCCTTGACTTATGCCCAAGGAGCATCCAACAAATTTAGTTATGGAACAAAGCCAAGTTGGAAAATTTCTCTTACGAATGCAAGGTTTTTACCTCGTCTAATGAAGTTGATAGGTTAAAAGCTTATCTGTATTATGTTGGTATGCGTTTCAGACAAACAGCTAATTAAGATAAGCGAGGTTGGTTAGTAAAAATCAATTTGTTTCAGTTGATGTTTTGGAAGAATAGCTGCCAGGCTAAGTAGATTGTTAGCACTTCCCACGCCAATTGATGAAGAAATTTCGTAATTGCGAAAGGTAAGTGTTGGTATGTCTGTGTGTCCACTTGATAATGCCTGAACTTGGAAAGCCACGCTACGACTGCGAAACTTTGCGACAAAGTTAGTACTTTGCCAATAAGGTAAAATCTTTGTAGGTTTAGCAAATCGATCCATCGCAAGAGAAAAAAAAACGTCAAACTTCATATTTTGACGCTTTAGAGCAGAGTTCCCCAAACTTTTTTGTGTCGTAGACCCCTTGACATATTTTTCCGTGTTGGGTAGACCCCCTACTTACCTGATATTGATTTCCTGTAAATTTCTAAATGTAGTGAAGTTTAGTGTTAAAAACTTAAAGTAAAAACACATGTTAATTTATACATTTATTAATTGAATTTAAATTAAAACTACTCAAAATAAAATTTTGTATCTGTTATGTAAAATATACGTAACATTAAATAAACAGGTGTCTGACCAATAAGTGCCCGCATTGGGAATGAGTGCCCGAATTGAAAAAAAATAAGAAGGATAAAATAAAAAAAAAAGTGAAATATAATAAAAAAAAAGTTTCTTACTTAAAATAGTACAATAAGCGAGTTCGTTTATTAATTGTAACATAAACGTATGTTCTACAGTAACTTCACTGTTAGTTTGATTAAATTCCGCTTCATATACGTTTAAGTTATCTAAAAATAGGCAAAAAATTAACGAATTTTAGTGTGTACCTATCCTTGAATTTTCAGAATAATTAAAAAAAAAATATTTTCTATAAATGGGGGGCGGGGGGTTCTTTAAAAAATCAATGCGGGCACTTATTCCCAATGCGGGCATTTATTGGTCAGACACCAATAAACATAAAATAAACTATAAATAAAATAACATAAGCAATAAGTCAATATTTTTAGTGAGAAGGATGAACCTGATGCTTTAATAATAAATTATCAACATTTGGCGTCAATTTTGTAAGGGTTAATCTTAAATCTCCTCGGCTAATGATGTCCAGTGTGTTTCTTTTTTTCGTTAGGAGATTGGTAACAGTGCTGAACCCCCTTTCCACTAGGTATGACGATGGAAAGGAAATTAAAAATTTCCTCGCTATATTCCATAATACGGGATAAGTAACGGGTATGTTGTTTCGCAGCCAGAATTGCTGATATCTGTTTTTAAACTGAACATTAAGTTCTTTGTTTGTACTTAGTTCAGTCAGTTCCTCTTGTATTATGACATTCGTTTCCTCTATGTCACCATATGGATTAATTATCCACGGTGGTATAACCATAGTCAAAATATCCTCAAACCTAGATTCAAAATCTGAATAGAGGGCATTTAAATGTTGAACGTAAGTTGAAACGTCGTCTTCCTGGCCGCTTGTCTGTGACAAATTGGGGAACTGAGAAAATTCGCCCCGTCCAATATTTTGCTTCATTAGTTTAACTCTGGCAAGAAACGCTGATAAGCTGGACTTTGTTTTAATCAAATTTAAACTGTCGCCTTGCGAATTGCAAATTAACCATATTAAATTTTGTAAACAAATCTGCTAAATAGGCGATGTCTGTTTTCCTCTTCATTAAATGTTCCTTTAAAATTTTATCTTTAGTATCCAGAAATTCTAAAATAGTCTCAAAAAGTGCAAAAAATCTTGTCAAACATAAGCCTTTCGACAGCCAGCGTACTTCAGTGTGAAGGAGTAATTGATGGAAGTGTTCGTCATTTTCTTCACACAACTGCGCAAATAAGCGCGTATTCAATGCATTGCTTCGGATTTGGTTTACTGCATCAATGACTAAATGAAGTGATTCATGCAATCTAACACTCAAATTTTTAGCAACTAAATGTCGTCGATGGATGACGCAATGAATTGCTATCA